CGCGGATTTAATGCCCTATGGCCTATTCTCTACCAGTCAACCCTAAGAAAGATGGAATAAATAAAGATGTTGGTGGGTGCATATTGCGGATAATTAAAAAAACTTGTTGCTTGACATCAAATTGTCTTTTGCCAGTCATTATAACGAAGTCCGAAACGTTTTCGGAATAAAGGAACCGAGCATTAGTAAGTTAAATACCTGCTTTTCAACACTTACACAAACTATCATAATATGTTGAAAGAAGCGGTCTGGTAAACTATCCATTAATTATGGTTATGGTTTGACATTTCGTGCCATTAAAGATGTTAAAAATTAATTAGCACCAAGTTTGAAGAGCACCTCCCGCCCTCTATAAATTGCGTGCGCTATCCCCGCCACAACTAATCCTGACACCACTACTCCCAACACCACTACGCTAGGAAAAATACACCACCGTCGACGTTACGTGGTACGCCTCTAAACGAAACATCATCAGTTGAAATAGACTGCGGTGTATGACCGCTAAGTAATCCTTGCTTATTAATTTTTAACATCTTTAATATAATGTGTACGTGGTGTACGTGGTAGAGTCATGCTGCAGCTATATTAATAGTATAGTTGTAGCACGAATGGGTCGGCTCGACTGGAGTAGGACCACGTTCTCACAGAATACCAGCGTAAAATGGCAGCTTAGCGCTGCTGTGTTTCGTATGGTGCGTGTAGAGAACCGGAGACCCTTTTTACTGGAAAAGAGACATTCCATCTTAGACTTCACGGGTGACAACGACAGTGGTAGAGCCACGCGACAGCTGACAGTGGTAGAGCCACGCGACAGTTGACAGTGGTAGAGCCACGCGACAGTTTTTGCTGTCGCACGGATGGGCCGGCTCAAACCGGGGTGGTACCACGACCTCACAGAATACCAGCGTGAAGTAGAGGTTTACCTCTGCGTTTCGCTCGGTGAGTGCAGGTGGCTGGAGGCCCTTTTTACTGGAAAAGAGGCATTCCACCTTAGTCCTCACGGGTGAGAACGCATCTGCATTTTGATTCGCAAACGAGGATAGATGTAAATGTCTATGGGCCACAGCTACCACTTACCATCAGGTGGACTGTGTGCTCGTTTGTCACCCAATCCTATAAAAAAAAATTTAAGAGCAAACCACCAAGGCATTGTTTTGTGTATTATAATATAATACTCTAGAAACTTATAAACTTTTATTAAAAACTAACATCTCACTTAAATGACATTGTGTAACAAAAACCTTTACCTCAGTGTCAACTAGCGACATCTGGTGAGTGGAATATTATTACCCTCATTACAGGCTGTGAAGCATTCCATCTTCAGAGGTGACAACGCATCCGTAGCCTTCTTTGAAGTTGGCTTCAGGTCTCCATGGACTAGCCACTTACCAACAGTGAACTATAAGTTTGATTGCAACTTCAGTTTTATAAAGAAAACAAAGTAGCGTTTCTACAATCGCAAAATTGTCTGCTTGGCATTAATTGCAGCATACGTATTCAGCGGCTGCGACTCAGGGCACTGTAATACAAAAGGATGTTTTTCACATGCACCCCGAACACACTGCCCCCAGTACACTCAACACTGAGTTTGTATTTTTACTAGCGGTACTAGCGATAAAGCCGCCATAAATGACTAGTGCATTAGTTTACGCGTACATTTGGAGCAGTTTTAATACAATCTGGTTGACTTGTGAAAGAAGAGTGCGACAGGATTACTTTTTCGGAAAATATTAAATTAAAAAAGAAAAACAATTGTTTTTTTGTTTATTTTGTAGTAAAAAAAATATACCACGTTTTTTTTCATATTCCTACATTGTCATCAGATTCTAAGCTATGTTTAAAATTTCAAGTGTTTAAAGTTTAAAATTTCTAGCTCATCGGGAAGTGCTCGAAATTTGAGTTGAGAAACAAGAAAGTGACATAATAAAAACGTGGTAAAATTAATGCAAATGACACATCTCAACGTTACGTGACTGTCACATGACCTAACGTTGTCACATTTCATACATTATTATAATTGTCTGTTTGTCTGTTAGTTAACACGTAGCACGTTAACAATTGAAGAGAGTCAATTTGGCTAGCCCAGCAGTTCTCAACGTGCCCGTAGTTATAAGTATATGATTCCAATTTTTATGCTTCTTTGATCATCGTTGTCAAAGCTGAAATAACTTGAGACTCTCTTATAAAGTGCCCGCATTAGTGGCACTTATTTACGGCATTTCCACGCTTCAAAAGACAATCCACTTAGGTACCGCTCCTTGACCTAGTCTTTAATACAGACAAAAGACATCAAGACTAGCGATTTAAAAATAAATGATAAGATTCATCCGCTTCGCTATTGTAATGAAATTAAAGTTAAAATATTAGATTGAAAATCTGCACAATGGCGACAAACAATTTTAGTGATACCGACGGGGACCGTTGCCGTGTAGTGGCGGTGTAAGAATATCCACTACCCCATCTTGCCCCGGGGGTGTAAGAAGAGGCGACGGAGGGTAACAAACCACAAGATAGGCATCAGTCTCTTCTTAGTAACGACTAAAAACAAAAAAACTACGGTTGCCAACCCGCCTGCTGAGTGCGGCATCTAAAGCAAATATACCCACTACGAGGCAGTTTATGGGAAGGCCTACATTCAGCAGTGAAATTTTTTTTAATAGGCTGTAACGGCGGGAATCGAACTTAGGTTGCCCGCGTACTGTGAAATTTAGAGCGACAGCTGCAATTATATTCGTTGTAGAGATAGAGAAGAAAGTTGTTTTTATCAGTGATGATAGACTGCGAGCCTTGTATTCATTTTTCACATGTAGAAGTTGACGTTCAATAAAAAATAAAAGCTCACCTTCAGAAGTCGATGCTAAAATAGTGTTTGGAATTAAAGCTCTAGTACTAAGGAATATCACTAGTTCGTATGTCGCCTAACAAACTACATCCCCTGTTTTCCACACTTGGGGTGAAATTTGTTCTCCTTATTGATATGAAATAACCCAGAGAGTATCTCCTATTTAATAAAAAAATATGTTAAAATTACAAGGATATCGAGAAATGTACAATGTAACTACATACAAAAAAGAATACAGTCGAATTGTGAACATCTTCCTTTTGTGAAGTTGGCTAAAAGGTCCGGCTGTTTATCGATGACCAAGGCACCTACTCGATACAGGAGAAATTACCGTATGGGAATTAACGTTTAGAAATTGAAAAAGTTTTCATAAATTTTTATATTTGAATTGTCACTTACACCAAAGGCGTATTTTGAAGACGTTTTACATACAGAAATTACACAATCACAAACACAACCGACAGTGAACAATTGATATTCACATTGGTTTCGAACCTGCGGCGCGCCGTAGCTCTGCGGACAATCGTTTAACCACTTCACTAAAAAGCCGTCAATGTTAATTTATTAACTGAGTATATAGCTATATATTTGTCAATGGACATCCTATCTGCTTTCATAACTGGGGACTAAGTTATATCACCATCATCATTACGGCCTATCAAAAGGCCGCGGCTGAACATTGGCCTTCCTCATAGATCGTCTTTTAAGGGAATATTTGCCATAGTTAGCAACCGCAGTTTTTTATTATTTTGTGTTGTTATCAGGAAGATGCTGCTGCCCATTTCCTGTTACAGTTTCTCTTTGTCGCCTCCTACTACACCCACAGGATGATATGGAGTAGTGAATTTTCTTACGCTGCCACTACACTGCGAAATTTGTTACTTGTTAAGTAGTAATATGGTCTCTGTTATCGATACACACTATGCGAAATACGGCAGAGGTTTACTAGCTGCTACAATTCGGTAGTAACCTTTAAAAGCGTCAGCTGAAAAGGCACATAATATAGTCTATATAATGACTAAAAAGAAATACAGATATCTATCTAGCCTACAGACTCGTTACTAGGAATCCTTACAATATACGAGTTACTCTTATGAAATTATTAGAAATAAAGAATCGTAAGCCGTTTGTGAATATTTGTGTCAACATTAGCGGATTTGTCAACATAAGGGCTCAACTGCACGGTAAATTGAATTATACGATGTGAAGCCCTCGCGCTCATTATTAATAGAATATAGCAATACTACTTTCTTTCTTTCATTTAATTACTTGTGTCTAAAAGTAGGTCACGTTGAGACACTTTTTACTGGAAAAGAGGCATTCCATCTTAGTTCTCAAGGCTGACAACGCATCTGCATTTTGATTCGCAAACGAGGATAGATAGATGTAGATGTTTATTGGCCTCAGCAACCACTTACCATCAGGTGGACTGTGCGCTCGTTTGTCACCCTATTTCTATATAAAAAAAAACGTTGCTAGGACGATTTGCTCTAATCATCACGCTTGGTAGGTGGATTAACAATCGCAGTATACCAGATGTCGCGCACCTCTGAAGCAGCTGCCGCAAGCGAGATGTTTGCCGCCATCTATCGGAATCTATAAGATTATACTGGTATAGAAATTGCCTGATGAAGCAACTAGACTGCAACCGTCTAAGACATAATTACTTCTGCCTCTCGGTTGTTGCTATCAATCTACAGTTGTCCAGGAACCAAATTGAAACAAAAAAAAGTTACAACCTCTGTACGCCCCGCTGCTGGGAACAGGCCTCCTCACATTTCTGAGAGGGTTTTAGGGCTAACAATATTATATTTTCTTTTGTTTCAATCTGGCTTAACCTTAGCTTTTCAAACTTAGTCTTACTACAAAACGCGGTTTATTGATAGTCTCGTGTATCTTTGTGACGAAATAAGTGCCTTGGCCGCGGCGCCAGTCTTCGCGAATTTCGGAATTTATTGCTAAATTTCATACAATACAGTTAAGTTCGCATGTTTTCCCACGGGAATTCTATTTTAAACAGACACAAGCTTAAACCTGAGCCTTATTATTATTAATTACTTTTTTTTAATTAAACGGAATATCAATTTCGAATATCTGAGGACTAATAACATTAACTAGTTAGTAACAAACCGTTAAAATTCCTTTTATTTAATTTCAGGCCAGTCTGCGACAATTGGATTTATCACTGCTGTCAGAACTCTGGGCGCTTAGTGAGGCGATGGCGGCGTGGAGGCGACAGCTAGAACGAGCGCCGAGACTCCGCCCCGCACCTCCGCCCCCGCCGCCTCCACACTACCTTCGCACTTAGAAGCTTATACAAACAAAGATTGCTTTAGCTTTAGTATCTCTCCTTCCACCGACAAGCACGTAATAAAAGTATTCCACTTTGAACTCTCAAATACAGTAATATACAATAAAAAAGCTTCAGTCGTAACCCGATGCAATAAAATGCGAATGATTTCAGTGAATTTTATATTTTATTTTACACGATCAAATGGTTAGTAGTACAGAGATTGTAAAATTGTATTCTATTGTTACGACATTTAAAATCAATCATTTTCTCAAAATACAGTAAATTTATTACCTAAATACCTATTGCACGCCCCATAACGCCAAGCGTTATTAGACAGTGTATTACTCTTGACACGTCAAGGTCAAGCAATTTTGTGGTCTTAAAATGCCTTTATCATAACCATATTGCACTTATAAGATAATATGAGTAACCGTATATCAAGAAAAACACTAATTAATCCATCTTATATTTTCTAAAAAAAAATCATTTTATATTGCTACTTAAAAACGGGTTGAAAAAATTTTTACTTGGACGTCCGGATGTTGATTTTGTATGTGGTCACGATAACACCCGAAAAAATTGACGTATCGAGACCGGGTTTTTTTTATTAGCTTCAGAATTACTTCAATTGATTCCCTATTTCATTAAACGCGCACTAAGCTATTGATAGCCTAGTGCGCGTCGTTTATTAATAAAATGATTTTGGAGTTTTATAAATTTTATTGTTATTAAAATTAAAATTTAAAGGCGCTTTCATTTTCTTCTTTAGCCCTTGACAGACAAAGGACAAATGTACATATACAGCCTATATCGATTTTATACTTTGTTTAATCGATTTATTTTGGTAAATTTTTTTTTCCAAAATTAAATGAAACGCTCATGAGGCGTGCACTTTTGGATTTTTCAAACTATTTTGTATATTATGTACTCATAAATTTTTCTCTAATAGTGTGTTTCAGTCAATATTAGCCAATTTTTCATCGTAAAATAAAACTTATCCATCTAATAAATTAGGACCTGAATAAATATAACAGTGAAACAATTGAACTATATTCATACAACTGCAATATTTAATTTATGTTATATTTTTCCTATGTATAACTTTTCTGATGATTGCAAAATCAGCCCTTAATAGTATACATTATACAGGGTATTTTTGGAACGCTCCCGAAAACTAAGACAGGCGACAACACCAAGTACACCTTTGATCATGGGTCACAAATAAATTCGATCCTGATGAAAAAAAAATCAACTTTTTACAACGTTTTATTAGCTTTATTCACGCGCCATCATGTTAGTACAGCTAAATGAAACGATAATTTCATAAAATATATCATGAAAATACTGAAACATAAAACCAGCAGTGGAATGACTGAATTTATATCACCTGACTGAAAGGTCAATGTACGCGCGAACGCAAATTCGCGCGGCCCGCAACTAGCGGGCCAAACCACAATATCTAATAATTTACAACACTTGTCTAAATACCTTACTTATCTACTTAACCTACTATTTTGCCACTGTGCTTGTCTCCACTTAGCCACTTTAATCCGAATTTACAGGTTAAATAACCCAAATAACTGGTTCGATTCCCCGCTAATGAAAAAATACTTAAATGAAATGTAACCAAAGTTGGAGTCATGAGTTTTTATTCATCGTGTATGTTTATTATTCTCATGTATTCAGTTATGTACCTATTCAGATTAGTCTAGTACTAAGTTATTTAAAAAAAAATAGGTATGAAACAGCTTACCGCTCTAAATCCTCCGTGGTCTTATGAGATGCGGCTCAAATTGTGCTCCATTCATTTCAAGGTAGATTTGGGTGCAGGCGGGGCATCATCGTGTGGTCTTCGACACAGTCCGTACGTAGTTTCTCGAAACCATCCACGATCCTTTGGCGCATTTCTTCAGCACTATCACATTCACGATTAAAAACCCTTTCTTTCACATACCCCACAAAAAGAAGTCTAACGGAGTCAGATCTGGTGAGCGAGGTGGCCAAGCGTGTGGTCCTAGTCTGCCGATCCAGCGATCATCAAATAACTCATTGAGGCGCTCACGGACGAACCTCATGAAATGTGGAGGGGCACCATCATGTTGGAACCATGTGCGGCGATATTCAGCCAACGATAGGTCGTTTAAAATGTCAACCAACTGTTCATTTATAAAGTTTAGGTATCGCTGTCCGTTCAGTCGCTCTGTCAGAAACACTGGTCCCAGTATGCGATCCTTAAATAAACCTGCCCATACGTTAACCGACCATCGGGTTTGGTGCCCGGTTTGTCGAACAGCGTGCGGGTTAACCTCTGAATACACGTGTGTATTTCTTCGGTTCCACAGGCCGTTTCTGGTAAATGTCGACTCATCCGTCCAGATAATGTGCTCAATGGAACCAGGCACACGTTGTTGCTGGTATAATAACCAACGGCAGAAAACTCGTCGGCGGTCGTGATCGCCGGGAACTAAAGCTTGCACTTTGTGCAATTTGTATGGGCGCATTGGTTACGCTTCAACACTTTGTGCACTGTACAGTATGACACACTTGTACGATCCCGACGTCTTAACAATTTATTTAGCGATACTTCGTGTACCTAGGTTCGGATACCTAACATGTTGACCACTATAAACGTACGCGTTAGGCATTATTAAAACAAAAAAGAATCCAAAAACGTAACAAAAACTTTAATATCAACACGTAATCACAAGTAAATTTATTAAACAAAACGATTGAACTGTCGCTCGCGCACGCGTGTACAAAATCAACACGGAACTGTTTCAAAAACTACAATTAATAACGAACCCCGACGAATAAACGGAAACCTACTGCGTCACAGCGTGACGACACGAGCCGGCCGGGTTACATTCTGCGAGGCGACATGAGCCGGCCGGGTTACATTCTGCCGTCATACGAAATAAAGAAGTACGCAACTAACAAAAACGTAAAATGGAAATAAAAAATAAATTTATGAATTTTTCTTTCAGACCCCGTGTCTAAAGTATATTAAAAGGTATCTATATGAAAATTGAAATATGTACGTAGAGACATGAAGATTTTAAGGACGAACTTATTTTTTGATAATTTGTTTATTTATTTAAATAAAACGAATTTTCCTTTTCATCTTAGATTAAAAAATACACCTGGCAACACAAAAACATCGAAGGAAAGACGCATATAACTATTTGCGTATTCCCAACCTAATAAATAAAAAAAAACTGCCATTCATTTAACATTTTTACATATTTTGGAAAGGTCATTTGAAGTTGAAAGGACGCTAATAGTAATTTACTACTTTTTTCTTAGTAAATATTAGAAAAGCATTGGTAGTCAGACACAAAAAATAACAACCCGCAACTCTTGAGTAATGATTTTAAAGGGGATATCATACAAGACTTACTACGATAATAATTAAAAATTTTGTACAACCGACTTTAATATAAATAATTAAGGATGACTCAAAAACTATTGGTCTGACCTCGATCAAATTTATATGGGACCACATGTGAAACACCAGCTCTTAGTAATAAGATATAAGCTCTTAATAATAAGATATAGAATAAAAAGACAAGAATAATTGAAATTTAAGTAATCGATGCAAATATTGTTAAAGATGACGTAGCCACTGGTTAAATAAGTCTTTTCTATTATGTTGAAGTCTTTTCTAATAAAAAGATGTCATCTGTGATCAACAGTTACGTCTAAAATTCTTACGATAATTTCTAAAATATTGATATTTGTGAATATTAAAAAAATTTAGTAGATGCGCCTTCTTATCATGAGTCATGGTATATTTAACTCATTTATTCAAAAATTGTTAGATGCGCCCTTTTTTCTTCCGACCGCATACCATTGTTTCGTACCGAGCTAGATACAGGTCGACAGCGGAGGAAGTGTGGGTACAGTCGCGTTCTAAAGTACTACATGGTATTGGGCTATTGTTTTATAATATTATAGTAATTAATTGTTTAATTGTGGAATCATAATAGGTGTTTTACTATTTACTTAGAACTTTGGAAGAGGTGGGAATTAAAAATGGATAATGTTTACTTGAGCATTATTTGTTATTTCTATCGTAAAATATAAAGTAGTTTGTAACAAAAAAAACTTAAGTTAAGGGTGACACGCCGTCCATTATGACGTCTTGGGTCACATGAAAGTCAGATGTTGATGGTGTGTTGGTATTACTGGATGCTACTTCATCATCACTTTCATCTTCGCTTGAGCTTCCGTCATCAGGTCGATCACATGGTAATTTTTTCGGTATTCTCCCTCAACACTTTACTGCACAATTTTCCCCATTCACCTTCTCCTATCATATTTACCTTTTCGTTCACTAGTTTAGTCATAAAACAATAGATATAAATAATTTTTGTTTCCTTCCTTTTTAAAACATCGTCGCGAGTCGCAAAGTAAGCTGTGTATGCGACTGTATTTTTGGAGCGAACAAAGCGCGTGAACCAATAGCATGCAGGCACAGTAATACGGGCGGATTGATCCCCCGTCGCACCCCCCTCGTACCTATATGTGATAAATCGCTCAATGCCCAAGTTCAAGGCCAGCGTTCTTTTTTCACCGTTCGCGCGTACATTAACCTCCATTAGTCAGGTGATATCAATTCAGTTTCCACTGCTGGTTTTATGTTTCAGTATTTTCATGATTTTTTTTATGAAATTATCGATTCATTTAGCTGTACTAACATGATGGCGCGTGAATAAAGCTAATAAAACGTTGTAAAAATATGATTTTTTTTTCATCAGGATCAAATTTATTTGTGACCCATGATCAAAGGTATACTTGGTGCTGTCGCCTGTCTTAGTTTTCGGGAGCGTTCCAAAAATACCCTGTATATATTTAATAGAAAGTAAGCAAGTAGAAGGTACCTGACTAAACCTGGATAGTACAGAGATATGTTGTATGCTTACTCCACTATCCACAACCAGCAAACAGTAGAATATTTAAAGTCGGATACATTCTTGGATAAATTCTACGATATATGTTTCTTAATAAAAACCATT